TGTACCACTAAAGACTGAGGTTTCCTACCTTGCTAAAGATAACCACCGGGTATTGCTTGTACATTTCTGCCAAGCGAACATCGTCTCTTACTGACAGGTACACCTCTCCACAATAGTCTCGCTGAACTGTGGTCTCTCCTCAACTTCATACTGGTATGTTGGGCATCCCTTTGTTGATTATCGCTCACAAGTATTCTAGCCATCCATTTTCAATGACCTTGCTTCCTTCGAATCGTGGTTCAATCTACCTGAACTCACCCAATCAACACTCTCGGACGACCAGTCAACCAATATCATCACAAGCCTGCACCAAATACTCAAACCTTTCCTATTACGTCGATTGAAGTCTGATGTTGAGCATTCATTGCCGCCGAAGGTTCGTCAAAGCCTTCTCTACTGAAGTGCACAAACCAATGCTTTATGGGTTTCCCCATTTAGAAAGAATACATCATATACGCACCTCTAACAAGGAGGCAAAAAGATCTCTATGACCTTACAGTGAAAGGCGGTCTCCGAAAGCACCTAATCGAGCAAGGGCTTGAAACGAAGGGTGGGAAGCCCAAAGTCGAAGAGATCGACGACGGCCCAATAAAGACTCGTAGCGCAAAGGCATCGACACAATCTCCATCGAAGAAAAAGGCAAAGGCAAAAGCCAAGTATCAAAACGATGACGAAGATGACGATGCATATTTTGCTCGAATAGCAGACGGCCTAAATCATTCTGGTGACAAGGATGTTGCCGAAATGAATCGGGAACACCAATTGAAGCAAGCAAGTAAGTGTAGATACCTGACATGTTTCTGTCGACGAGATTAACCTTTGTTTAGTGAAAAAGGTCAACAATATGCATTTGCAAAACGTTGTTATGCAACTGCGCAAAGTCTGCTCTCATCCATATCTCTTCGATTGGCCAGTAGACAAAAACGACCAGTATATTCTGGATGAGCAACTAGTGAACTCGAGTGGGAAAATGCTATTGCTCAATCAACTACTCGATGAACTGTTCCGAAGGAAGCACAAAGTCCTTGTGTTCAGGTTTATTTGTTCATTGCCGTGCAAACTATCACTATACTGAAATGCTTTATAGTCAATTTACAACGATGCTGGATATCATAGGTCAGTGAATGCAAAAGCGATTTTCTTCTATTGACACCAGGTTTAGAGGACTGGGCAGTCGAATTTAAGGGTTGGGAGATCTGTCGAATAGACGGAAAGACTAGTCCGCATGAAAGAAGATCAGAAATGGATCGCTTCAACGAAGGAGGGGACTCCCCAACTGCGCCCATTCTATTCCTTTTGAGCACACGATCTGGTGGGCTTGGTATCAACCTCGTGGAAGCTGATACGGTTATCTTTTATGACCAAGACTGGGTGGGTATCATAAATGTAGTCACCAGTAAGGGCACCTATTGACTTTTGTTCGACAGAATCCACAAATGGATCTACAAGCACAGGATCGAGCGCACCGTATAGGACAAAAGAAACCGGTGCTTGTTTTCCGCCTTGTTTCCCAGCATACGATCGAAGAAACAGTACTTCAGCGGGCCGCTGAGAAGCGTAGATTGGAAGCGCTAATCATCGCTAAAGGTATGTACATTTCCTGGCGACCATGAATCAATCTGAGCCTATGGATACAGGCAAGTTCCGTAATCCAGCAGGTCAAACTACAAAGAGTAAAGAATCCATTCGTGAACTCGCCCAACAACTCCTGGAATTGGAAGGGGAGAAGATAAATGTGGTCACCGAGAGTGATCAGATTATATCAGATAATGCATTGAACGCCTTATTGGATCGTAGTCCTGAAGTATTCTCTGGACGAAAAACAGGTTGGACCTCCAAGGAAGCCGTCAAAGCGACAGATGGCAAGAAGAAGAAAGAGAAGGGTGATGCCACTTTCGAGGTTTACGAGCAGAAGTTGGACGAAGCGTCAGAAGGACTTGCCAAACTTATGGGAGAGGATGCCGGCAATTACGACTAACAACTACGACTAAAGCAAGTCGCAAACGAACAATTTATGACGATCTTATGCCAAAATAATCTTTCCTCATTGTTGTCACTTCTTTTATCACCTAGACCTGTATAATTGGATTGTACATAAGCCTGTAGCGGCAAATGTTGCGCGGTGCGCGTTGACAATAAATCGATAATAAATTACTTTTTGCCTCCTTAGAACAACTTTTCCAAAGGCTCGATGATTGTGCCCATCTGGTTTATGGTCAGTTGACATGGATGTATTGTATCGTGAAGTCCGCACCTTCTTTACAACCCGCGGCAATGTGGCCTTCTGGAATGAAACTCGTGTGTTCCACTCCATACCCAGAGGAACTTCCAATCGGCGCTCAAACTGTGCCTTGCTAGTGTAAGGGAACGGCAGGTCCTTAACAAGATATTTATCCGCTTTCTTGTCCTTCTTTTCCGATATGATGACATGGTCTTTGCCATAATCCTGCCTTCTCCTCGGGTCAACACCAGGGAACCGCTTGATCCTCTCAGGTTTAGGAGGTGGCTTAGTGATACCAGCACCACCCCAAGACCCCTAAAGCAATGGCAAATGAGCTGAGAATGAAATTATGGTAAAATCCTTACCCATCCTGGTAGCGTGGTATCCACTTCCTTAGGGGCATCTGCTTCCATTTCCCGAAGTTTCTCAGCCGCAAACTCCTACATTGGTGTCAGGTATTCCTTTAATCATCAAATCCTTTGATAGAACTCACTTCTACAACATTATCACCGGAAAAGGCTTGGGCCACGAGCTCCCGCTGCTCAAATGCAGTAAGGCGTCCATTTCGCCGATTCAAAGCAGCTTCTTGTGCTTCACGCTCATCATCGGTGATTTCATCATCCACAAGAGCAGCGTCTACATTATGTGTATCCGTCTGTCTTGTCTGGGCCTGCTCAGCTGACTTGCGACCGGCTTTTCGGGGTTTATTGACTTCAGGGGAGACCATTGTAACGTTCGGGTCTATTTCCAAGACTGCATCATCTTTTGCCAAAGTCATAGCATCAGCAGTCTTGCGCATTCTTTTTTTGAGCGCATTCTTGGATAACGCGGCTGCATTGCTGTTCTTGTTGACAATAACTTCATTCCTCGCACGTGAAACCTTTGTTGAAGTTGAGTTCACTGTGAGCCATGGATTTTCCTTCATCCCTCCTGGCCCATCCGCCCTCAGGTCATCAAATAACCCGTCGGTATCTGCCGTAGTGCTCGCAACGACCTAAAATTCTTTAAAATATGATCTTATCACTAAAGAAAGAAACATACCGCGTTTTCCGGATTAAAGGATACACGCCCGCTTTGCCGTACTGTTGCGGAGAAGGGATTCGGCTGGCTTGGTGCCTCGTCTTCCTCAGTCATACCCAGCTTTTCCAATTCTGCTTTGAATGAGTCCACAGTTCCTCTAACTTGAGCCTCTCCTCTCGAGGCAGCTTCTTTCATAAATTTCATGTCCATCAAAGTACTCTTGCGATTGGACGGAGCCGCATCAGGGTCATCCATCGTCAATGCATCCAGCTCATGCATGGCACGAGTTGCAATCATCTCTGGATCCTCGTCATCATCGTCCATTTCCTCGTCTGACTCCTCGTCAGAATCCACCCCTGCAATTTTCCGTTTGAGCTGTTCTCCACGATTGTACATCTCTTGCATTTCTTTTCTTTGATCTTCCTCCATTTCGCCGCGCTCACGCATACTTTTGGCCCATTTTCCGGTGGCTTTGTGCTTCAATGTAGCTCGCTCTCTTGCACGGTCGAGTTCAGCTTTCATTCGTTCGGCTTCTTCGTCGACATCTAAACCCAAGCTCTTGAGCTTCTCAGCTTGCTTTGCCTTCTCTTTCTTTTGAATTTTGCGGTAAGTTTTGCTTTTGATCTTGGCCACTCGTTTTGCCTTGATTTCAGTCCGGAACATCAAGTCACGCATTTTCCTGAGTTCAGCTTGGCGCTCTGCAATCTCCTCTACACTTAAATGTTGCATTTGTAGCTCTTCAGTCTTTGCGATATCCTGATCACGTAGTTCAGCTGCTTTCAAAAGTCTGTCAACAGCACTTTCTAATTGAGTCGCAGGCTAATCTCTTGTCAATACACCAGCTCATGTAATAATGTTATTACTCGCCTTGAAGTTACTAGCCAGTTGAGCGATATTGGACTCTGCTGGCCGTTGGCTTTGTAAAGGAAATGATAAATGATCGGCCTGAAACCAGGTAAGACAGCAGTACAGGGGATGATAAATCCTGAATATATACCTCTCGGATGCGCTTCATTGTAGGTTCCCACTTCTGTACTTCTGATTTTGTTTGTTCGTATGCAGCTTGTCTATCTAGTCGATCCTGTACTCTCAATGGTAAAGGTGCAGACAGAGGTGCAGCCTTAGCACTGTTTAAAGCCTTCATAGCGGATGTCAGAGCAATGGCAGAGGAAGATGCCCCTTCTGAGTTTAGAGGTGCAATTAGATCAGAGAATTGAAGCTTGGTCCCTGCAAGTGCACAAAATGGGTAAGCATAGTATCTTTTTTCCGGGATCTGTCCACTGACCAGCTCCTCTGGAGGCCATAAACTCTCCTTCTTCACCGGGTTGGGTACGCTCTTTCAATAACCGCCTCTTTTGTTTTGTTGGCCGGACTTCTGTAGCTTCTTCTGAATCAGATACTTTTCTCTTGGTTCCAGATGTCCGGCTATCTTCAAGATTTTGGATATAACCCTTGAGAGCTTCAAGTGCATCTTCGTTTTCTTCGTCATCTTCATCCGCTGAAAGGTCATCATTGGATAGTTTTTCTACTTCTTCGTCTTCGTCCTCCTCCGTCGAATCGTCAGACTCATCCTCGGATGCATCACTTCCACTAAGTTTGCGCTCTGCCTTCATATTCGTACCAATGTCCATGGAATTGTCCTCTTCTTCGTCTTCTGAAGCACTGCCTTCTTCCTCTTCGTCGTCGTCGTCTTCATCTTCGTCCTCATCTTCATTCAGGTCCACCTCGAATTGGGCTTGTTTCTGCTTGGATGATTTGGAGTGACCCTTGCCTTGAGACTGCTAATTGATTAGGAACTTGAGGCAGCTTTTGAAATAGGAAGACACTGACTTTGAGGTTGTAATTTGCGAAGCGTTCCTCGTCACTTTCACCGAAAGCGGCGTCAGAATCGATATCTTCGTCGTCATCACTATCAATTACGTCCTCTTCATCTCCCATCTTGAGTTTTAGACGCATTTTTTCCAGGTCATCGGGTTCATTTTCTTCATCATCTCGCATACCGTACTCTCTAGCTTCTTCCTTGGAGAGATCGAGAGTAATATTGGCACGAGATTTTCCTTTTCTTCCTTCCCTTTCGTTATACTCGTATACGTCCATACCAGTAGACTTTTTCACCTGTGGCTTTCGAGCCATCCTTTTCTCAAAACCGGCAATATTAGCCTTTTTCCTCTTTCCAGTGTTGAGTGCATCCTTTTTTCTTTGCACTCCTAATTTATGTTTGAGACTTGTGGACTTTTCGGTATGTTTGGGCATCGTATACGATGCAAAGGTGCCACAGTCAAATCCAAACCAAGCGTGCTTTGTTCCTATACATTTCTCTCCGACCTTCTCAAGGGCCAATCCACGTCAATAATCATGAAGGAAAAAACTGCTGCTTCCGCATCATCAAAACAAAATTCGCAAAGCTTCCTCGGAGGATTCGCAAAAAAGAAAAGGCTCATTGGACTGCTCATTGGCCTCAGCACCGCGCTCTTTCTATGGAACCAGTTCAGTGATGCTAGTCTCATGAGCTGGTTAGGAATGGGTAACGAAGTCAGACCATTTGATGAATTCCAGGTAAGTAAATGACAAGTGCTCTGCTACGTGACACGCAAAATATATACGGACGCCCTAACCAGTATCGCGGATCAGGGCATGTTGTATTATTTGACCAAGTCGGACAAGCTTCTTCCTGCTCAACTAGACGGAAGTGAAGTTCAAGAGTCTAGTGTATGGAGTGATGGAACAAAGCTCAGCCCTGCGCAATGGGAGACTCGCTTGGCAGAAATGTACAAGCAATACCCGGTGGTTATCTTTAGCAAGGTAGGAAACCTCAGTCTTTAGTGGTACA